CCGAGATCGCCCGGCCAGCGGCCGGCAGAGGGGGGGGTCCGGCGGGCTGAGCTCCGTTTGATGCCGTCCGACCCTCCGCCCGAATTGGCGGAGCATCTTCCCACCTCTTAGCTACCGCGAGCACCCGAGCCGGAGGAAGCCCCTTGCTCCCAATCCGTATTTATTACTTGCGAAAAGACCGACCTGGCTTCTGAGCAACCTCTTGTATTTATTCTGCTCAACTCCTAATAACGGCAACCCTCGCCTATAAAACCCACTTCATCCTCTTCTATTTTTGTACGAAGAAACCCACCCTTTTCCTGCTTTTTCCTTTGGCAGAAAAAAACTTTTACCAAATAAATGCTTTTCTCAGCAAAGAGCCAGACGCTTCTCGGGTTTGGTTCCTCGCCCAGAAATAACTACAGGTCTGCAAGACTTAAAAAGGCCTTCTTTTTTTCATCTTTTTTTTCTTGGAAATTTCCAGCCAAACCCAAGCACAGGTAACTCCCGGCGCTGCCCGAATTGCAGAGCCCGTGCTACGGCGCAGCGGTGCTGCCAGGCCCCCTGGGTTTTGCCGTCCCCTGCCGAGTTTTTCCTCCCCCCAGCGCAAGGAAAACTCAACCAACCGGCCTCAAAAAAGCTACGACCCTGCCCGTTTTCTTTGGGTAAAAACCCAGGGACCCGGCTGTGCTCTGAGCAGAGCACGGAGGTGACATGGAGAGAAAAGTCCCATTAATATTTATAATAAATAAATAAATATTTATTTATTATATTTATAATATAATAAATAAAGCACAAGAGCGGTGGGAGAGGGGAGGGGGTGCTCGCAGGCGGATCCAGGATGGATCTGCAGGAGGATTTGGGGTGCTGGCCCAAAAATAGCGAGGAACAAGGCGGGATCTCCCCGAAGGCGTATTTCCAGAGCCGCGCTCCCGGGTGAGAAGGGGGAGAGGAAACCCCAGCCCCTGCCCTACATGGCTGCAGGAATAACCGAGCTCCCCAGCAGAGCCCCTCGCCGAAAAACGTCCTCCCTATTGCAGCACGTGCTCGAGGGCTGTCCCCAATGCAGGACGCTTTCCCCCATCAGCCCGGAGAAATTTCCTTCTCCGTTTTTGCTAATCCCTCAGCCCGGGGGTGCTCCGGAGCGGGGTGTGAGCCTGCCTGCACCGATGGGCGCAGCTCATCCTCCCGGCTCCGACCCGGCGGTCCCTTCGCTTGCAGGGATGG